GCCCTTTGAGAGTTAGTTTTGTAGCATATATTCCTAAGAATAAGGCCATTCACTTACATAAACACGGTAAAGTTAAATTCAGTACAGGGAATTTAAGCTTAATTCAGGATGCTTATCTACAGTTTATATTCCATGTTTTCCTGCCCATAATGTGGTCTAGGACCAGACATTGCATTTAATTTTGAAGTAGATGGTGTGGCTAATTCTTTTGTAGAATGTTTGTCTATTTGAGTTCATTGGAGTTTCCGTCTTAGATTCAGGTTGTGTGTTATAGCTGGCAACTACTGTATAGTCTATATCTCAGTGAAATCCAAATGATGTATTCTTGTGTCTTACAGGGAAGCCTTCTGACCAGCTGGCCCTCTGGCCCTCCTACCATGAAGGAGGAGGAAAGCAGTGAGGAGGAACCTACAGCAGCCACCACTTGGAAGGAGCAGGAGCCCATCCCTACAGATCTGGATGCAGTGCGAACACCAGAGCCCTTGGAGGAATTCCCGAAGCGTGAGGACCAGGAAGGCTCCCCGCCGGAAATGAGCCTGCCCTACAAGTGGGTGGTGGAGGCTACAAATCTCCTCATCCCTGCCGTGGGTTCTAGCCTCTCTGAAGCCCTGGATTTGATTGAATCGGTATGTTGGTCGCAGCACTTCGCAGTTGCACAGAGCGCTCCTGGTAGGAAGTGCTTCTCTTGCGGGCCCACGTCCTTTTGCCCATTCTGTCGCTAACAGTTACTGACTTCATGCTGAGTGGCCAGCCCTGACTCAAGGGCTGGGGACACCAGGGTTGTCACCACGCAGTCCCTGTTCCTAGGGAGCTCCCAGTGTGTGCAGTGGGAGTTTGTGGTGGCATATGATTTCTATGTATGGCACAGGGTGGGGTGGGAAGGTTGCCCAGAGGAGGTGTCACTGCACTGAGCCCTAAAGGTTGACTGGCAGGTGACAGCACAGGACAGCGTGGTATTTGTGACATTACACATGGTTGGGCCTCCCTGAAGAGGTCCCCAGGAAGTGCCAAGGCTTGGTTCTGGTCTTGGAGTGCTGAGTGGGTTCAGGTTACTCGGAGTGGGGCAGGTATTGAGCCCCGTGTTGTGGTTACTGTGTAGGCTGTGGGGTTGTGTCCTTTGAGGAGGGCTTCTTGGTGCGACACCCCAGCTTCTGACTGCATTGGCCAGGCCTGCAGTGTAGAGTGGGGTTTGGGAGGTGAAGACCAGAGGCCTGGTCACTGGGGTGGGGAGTTCGGTACGAGGGACCGCGTTTGCCTTCCCACGTGAGTGTCTGCTGTCCTAGAACACCTACTAACTGCCGGGCTCTAAGCTTCACACAGTCTGCATGGCATCCTGTGAGGTGTGTCGTTCCTGTTTTATAGGTGAGACTGAGGCTGGGAGAGGTCAAGTGGTATACCCAGGGTTGCACAGCAAGTATGCTTGGTGGTCTTGACTGCCATGCTGTGCTCCCGCTATTACCTGATAGAGGGTTGGAGGGCCATCTGCTCAGGCCCTCTTTCACTCTAGGTCTCACCTCTTGACCCCAGTGGCTGGGACCGGAACCAGCTGCAGGGTCTGTCTGTGGTGCCTCCACCTCCAGGGGGTTTCGGAGGAGTTTGACAGGCACCAGCACATTCGTGGATTCTCAGCATAGCTCTGAGGCAAGCACTGGATGCCATCTCTCCTGCCAGCCCTGAGGGGAGTGCTAAGATGAGAGTCGATCCCTCTATGCCTGGCACACTGTGTACCACAGCATCACCTCCCTTTACCTCAGACGGTTCTGTTTCCTTTTGCTTGGCAGGCACAGCTCACTTGTATTGAGCACCCACTGATTGTCATACCTGATGCTTAATGAGTAATGACAGTACCTAACATTTGAGTGCTTGCCACATGCCAGGCCCTTCACTTGCTACCTAATGTGTGGGTTCTTCATTGGTCTTTAACAACCTGTGAGGTGGGTAGTGAGCACCCCACGCTCAGAGAGGCCAGGAGACTTGACCAGTGTCACACAGCTGGTGCCCTCTGGGAACAGCAGTCAGACCCTGCTGTCTGGCTCAACACTCAGGCTATTTCCACAATGATCTTCTTCATCTTTTGGGGGAGTTACTGCATGTGTGGAAATTCCGTCCTCCCTTCCCTGCTCTGTCCACTCCAGGTGGTCCTTGTAGGATCTACTTCTCGTCTACCAGACGTCTGCAGTGCTGGGACCACCCTGAGGTTGGGGTGTGGGCCTGAGGTCGGACCTGCCCCCAGGTGGCCTTCACCTTTGGGAGTGAACTGTCCCAGGCTCCTGTAAGTCCTGGGAACCAGAACTTGCCATTAGCACTGGGGTCCACTCAGAGGCCAGATCCCCACAGACCAAAGTGGAAGCCTCTGTGTCCAGAAGACTTTTGGTTTGTGTTGTGATTTATTGAGTAAAAGAGGGAAAACCTGGAGTGATTCATGGGCTTCTTAGAAGCTGAGTAACTTCAGGGAGACCGAATCCCCTTAGCTCATCTTCCTTGGTATGAAAGCGAAAGCTCATCATGGGTCAGGATGGCTAGTGACTTCCCTAGGAGAATTGTAGGGATTGGAAACAACTTTTGTGAGCTGCCCCAAGGAGGCACCAATGATGAGCGACATCCCATTCAATGCTCTGTATTTCATTCTGTAAAAATAATGGGCAGGTGTGGTACTGTGGTTCATGCCTATGCTCCCAGCACTTTGGGAGGATCATGTGAGCCCACGAATTCTAGACCAGCCTGGGTAACATAGCGAAGCACTGTCTATAAAAAAGCTTTTACAAAAATTAGCCAAGGCCAGGCACGGTGGCTCACACCTGAAATCCCAGCACTTTGCAGGCTGAGGTGGGTGGGTCATGAGGTCAGGAGTTTGAGACCAGCTTGGCCAATATGGTGAAATCTGTAACCCGTCTCTACTAAAAATACAAAAATTAGCTGGGTGTGGTGGCACACACCTGTAGTCCTAGCTACTTGGGAGGCTGAGGCAGGAGAACTGCTTGAACCCAGGAGGTAGAAGTTGCAGTGAGTGGAGATTACGCCACTATACTCCAGCCTGGGTGACAGAGCAAGACTTCATCTAAATAAATAAATAAATAAATAAATGAAAATAAGAAATAAATTAGCCAAGAGTCTTGGTAGATGTCTGTAGTCCCAGCTACTCAGGAGGCTGAGGTGGGAGGATCACTTGAGCCCAGGAATTCAAGCCTGCAGTGAACTGTGGTTGTGATTGTGCTACTGTACTCCAGCCTGGGCAACAGAGACCCTGTCTTTTTAAGGAAAAAAAGAATGTATGAAAATATAGATGTACAGTCATAGAAAACTCTGAGGAAATGTGTGAGATATTAATGATTAGTCCTGGGCTGTATAGGTTTATACTTGACACTTACATATTTCCCTTAATGGACAAGTCCTCTTGTATTAAAAGGAGAGTAATTGCAATTTTAACCTCCCTCCCTGGACAGGACCCCGATGCTTGGTGTGACTTGAGTAAATTTGACCTCCCTGAGGAGCCATCTGCAGAGGACAGTATCAACAACAACCTGGTGCAGCCGCAAGCGTCACATCAGCAGCAGGTCCTGCCACTCCGCCCGCCTGCTGCCCCAGTGCCCAGCGTGACCGAGTACCGCCTGGATGGCCACACCATCTCGGACCTCAGTCGGAGCAGCCGGGGCGAGCTGATCCCCATCTCCCCCAGCACTGAAGTTGGGGGCTCCGGCATTGGCACGCCGCCCTCAGTGCTCAAGCGGCAGAGGAAGAGGCGTGTGGCTCTGTCCCCTGTCACTGAGAATGGCACCAGTCTGTCTTTCCTGGATTCCTGTAACAGCCTCACCCCCAAGAGCACACCTGTTAAGACCCTGCCCTTCTCACCCTCCCAGGTGCGTGGACCCCACTCTGGCTATTTATTGGGTCGGTACAGACACCTGGTGTTCAGTGCTGGGGGCATGGGTGAGCAAACCAGACCTGGTTCTGCCCTCATGCAGTTTAGGCTCTGATAGGAAGACTAGTTAACTAAACAAGACCCAGAAATGTGAGAGGCAGGATGAAGGAGAAGGCTTATGGTACTGCATACATGTATCTAGTGTGGGCAAGTCCAGGAAGACTACCAGGAGGAGAGGAGGAAGAGGGGAATGGTGGTAACTGGGTAATGAAGGGGAAGAAAAGAACTGTTTGTTCAGTCCATTTATTGAACGTATTTCATAGCAGACTTGCTAGCATTGGGGAGCAAAGATGAAGATGACAGGGTGTCCCCAGTGCTGGGAAGACCTGGGATATAGCCAGTGCTGAGGATAGGCTTGTAATGAATTAATCAGAATAGAGTGTGGGTGGTGCCATGGTGATAGCAATTGCAAAGTCACTGAGAACTCACTGTTACAGGTGTTGCCCCTGGGTGCTCTGTTAGGCACCACAGAGCCTCAGGGGAGCCAGGGACGGGTGCCAGGGTCTCTCTGAGATAAAGTTCGTGGGAGGCACCTGGTCTTCCTGCAGAGACAGTGTCTGGGCTGGGTCTCCTTGAGCACCTTGACCAAAGGCACAGAAAAGGAAGGGCAGAGTGGAGGTGTGGAGTTCAGGGCTAGGAGTGGTGGGTGGTGCAGGGCCTTGGTGGGCTTATGTATAACCTAGGTCTTTGGCTCTCATTAGGTCTGCTCTTCTCGTCATGTTGTGGGAGAGAGCAAGGCTCTGAGGGGGCCTGGTGCAGGAGGCCACCCTGTCATCACGGGTCAGGATGGCTAGTGGCATTTTGAAAGAGACCCTGTATTGGTTTGCTCCGGCTGCTTAGCAGAGTACCACAGACTGCGTGGCTTTGACAACAAATTTAGCAGTGTTGGTTTCTTCTGAGGCCTCTCTCCTTGGCTTGTAGATGCTGGCTCATGCTGTGTTTTCACATGGTTGCCTGTGTCCTAATCTATTGTCTTTTAAAACCTCCTATTTTATAACATTGTAAGGATACCAGTTACTGGATTAGGGCCCACTCTAATGACTTTAACTTACCACTTTATTTTATTTTATTTTTTTGAGATATAGTCTCACTCTTGCTCAGGCTGGAATGCAGTGGCATGATCTCAGCTCACTGCAGTGTCCACCTCCTGGGTTGAAGCAGTGCTCCCACCTCAGGCTCCTGAGTAGCTGGGATTATAGGTGCCCGCCACCCACGCCTGGTAAAGTTTTGTTTTGTTTTTTGTTTTTTGTGTCTTTTTTTAGATGGAGTCTCGCACTGTTGCCTGGGTGGGTATGTGTGCAGTGGTGTGGTCTCAGCTTGCTGCAACCTCTGCCTCCCAGGTTCAAGTGAGTCTCCTGCCTCAGCCTCCCGAGTAGCTAGGATTACAGGCACCTGCCATCATGCCCAGCTAATTTTTTGTATTTTTAATAGAGACAGGATTTGACTATGTTGGCTAGGCTAGTCTCAAACCCCTGACCTCATGATCCGCCTGCCTCAGCCTCCCAAAGTGCCTGGATTACAGTCGTGAGCCACCTCGCCCAGCTGAAGTTTTGTGTTTTTAGTAGAGGTGGTTTAACCTTGTTTGTCGGCCTGTAACTTACCACGTTATTAATGAGACGGAGTCTTACTCTGTCTCACTCTCGGCTCCCTGTAACCTCCGCCTCTGGGGTTCAAGCAATTCTCCTGCCTCAGCCTCCCGAGTAGCTGGGATTACAGGTGCTCACCACCACGCCCGGCTAGTTTTTGTATTTTTAGTAGAGATGGAGTTTCACCATGTTGGCCAGGCCGGCCTCGAACTCCTGACCTCAGGTGATCTGCCCACCTCGTCCTCCCAAAGTGCTGGGATTGCAGGGGTGAGCCACTGTGCCCAGCCTAATTTACCCCTTTAAAGGCCCTATCTCGGCCGAGCGTGGTGGCTCACGCCTGTAATCCCAGCACTTTGGGAGGCCGAGGTGGGTGAATCACCTGAGGTCAGGAGTTCCAGACCAACCTGGCCAACATGGTGAAACCCCATCTCTTTTTCTCTTTTTTTTTTTTTTGAGACGGAGTTTCACTCATGTTACCCAGGCTGGAGTGCAATGGCGCGATCTCGGCTCACCGCAACCTCCGCCTCCTGGGTTCAGGCAATTCTCCTGCCTCAGCCTCCTGAGTAGCTGGGACTACAGATGGGCGCCACCACACCCAGCTAATTTTTTGTATTTTTAGTAGAGACGGGGCTTCACCATGTTGACCAGGATGGTCTCGATCCACCCGCCTCGGCCTCCCAAAGTGCTGGGATTACAGGCTTGAGCCACCGCACCTGGCCTGAAACCCCATCTCTAAAAAAAATAATAATAAAATAAAATGAAGTAAAAAAATAAAGGCCCTGTCTCCAAGTATTAATACAGTCCCACTCTGAGGTGCTGAGAGTTGGGACTTAAGGATGTAAATTTGAGGGAGACGCAAGTCAGCCTTTAACATGCTCCTAGTGAGGGCTGCTGGCGGGAGAAGGAAGACACTGGGGCCCTAAGCTGCTATTTGGGAAGCTCAGGATGATGGAGTACAGTGGCCGCCCTGCTCCAGAGACCCCATTTAGGGTAGAGGCCCTGAGGGTTGCAGATGGCTCTCTATTATAGCACTTTCAGGGCAGGAAGGGAAGAAAGGGTGGTGCTTCAAAGGATGGATGGATGGTGACTTAGATCTAGATATGAGTCTCACCTCTATTACTCAGCACAAGACTCAAAACCTCTAAGCCTTGGTTTTCTCATCTGTAAAAGGGGATAGTAGTGGTGCCTGTGTCTCAGGATTTGTGGGAACTAAATGAAATTATTTGTGTGAAATGCTTAGCCCCGGCAAGAGAAGGTGCTCTCTAATTGGTAACCCCTCTGCCACCAGCATCACTACAGCCATCACATGCCCTGTGCCTTCACAGGTCAGTTCAGAGCTAGTTTTATTTCTTCTGTGAAGGAGTCACTCTCCCGCAGTTGGCTTCCTGTGCTTTAACTGCCTTGTCAACACTCAAGGGTAGAGATGGCAAAAGCTAGTATTAGGGTGACAGAAGTGCAGAGGTCTATGTGAACCTGCTTGGTGGCCTCCTGCCATCGATCTGTCTCAGTCCTTGTCCTCTAGTGTCTGATGGGTCAGGAGGGGACCTCAGTGTCAGAGAGCAGATGTTCTGGGGGAGGGACTCAAGGGTCTGTCTCTTCCCATGACCCGCTGAGGCCTCAGGAGTCCACACGTAGGTTATCATTTTGTCTTGTTCCCTCTCTCTTCTTCGGCAGTTTCTGAACTTCTGGAATAAACAGGACACATTGGAGCTGGAGAGCCCCTCACTGACATCCACCCCAGTGTGTAGCCAGAAGGTGGTGGTCACCACACCACTGCACCGGGACAAGACACCCCTGCACCAGAAACATGCTGCGTGAGTGCTGCATTGCCCCCCACCTTCCTCTCCTCTCCCTCAGCAATGCCACACCATGGGCCTCAGGACCACTGGTGGAACAGTGGGGAGGGAGCACCCTTGGAATACCACTGGAGACTGTTTTAAGGAAGCCCTCTCGTTTCTGGCCACCACGATTTACCATTTTTGTCAGTATTGTCTGGGGCTCCACCTTTGCTTTTCCTCATTTGTAGTTTTTAATTTAATAGTTTCCTTTTTTGTGATCCTCCTGCCTCAGCCTCCTAAGCACCTGGCACTACAGGTGCATGCCACCATGCTCAACTAATTAAAATTTTTTAAGAGGTGAGGTCTTGCTACTTTGCTTGGGCTGGTCTTAAACTGGCCTCCAAGTGATCCTCCTGCCACAGCCTCCCAAAATGCTGGGATTATAGGTGTGAGCTACTGCACCTGGCCTGCATTTCATAATTTTCTATCTTAGGAAAAGAGATAGTCCAAATTAGCCTGAAAAACATAATCTCTTCCCCTTTGTAAGGTTTCAAGTGCAAATTTATTGTGTTTGAGCAGCCTATGTGCAGGACGAAAGTGTCCCAGTCTCTCTGTCAGGAGTGGAGGCCACATTCCTGCTGAGCTTACGGAGCACAGCGTTTTCTGTCTGGAAGCCTGTACAGGTTGCTCGCTAACCTGCTTTCATGGAGGTGCTTGTAAATAAGTTTACCTACTTGGGTCATCATGATTCTGAATTCCAGATGGAGACAGTTGCTTAACTATCTATTCCTCTGCTTAATACATTTGCTGGAGGAGGAAATCACTTTTATTTTGTGATTCAGAAATAAGCTCAGGAATTTTAGCTCTGATAATGATACATAATTTTGGGAAAAGATTTGTGAATCCCTTAGTCAGAAATCAGTCTCCAATGTCTGGCTCAGTGGCTCACTCTTACAATCCCAGCACTTGGGAGGCTGAGGTGGGAGGATCACTTGAGACTAGAGTTTAAGACCAGCTTGGGCACAACATAGGGAGACCACATCTCTACAAAAAAAAATTTTTTTTTGAGATGGAATCTCTGTGTCTTCCAGCAGGAGTGCAATGGTACGATCTTGGCTCACTGCAACCTCTGCCTCCCGGGTTCAAGCCATTCTCCTGCCTCAGCTTCCTGAGTAGCTGGGACTATGAGTGCGTACCACCATGCCTGTATTTTTAGTAGAGACAGGGTTTCACCGTGTTGGTCAGGCTGATCTTGAACTCCTGACCTCGTGATGTGCCTGCCTCGGCCTCCCAAAGTGCTGGGATTACAAGTGTGAGCCACTGTGCCTGGCCTCTCCCTGAGGGTTTTTTTTTTCTTCAAAGATGGAGTCTTTCACTGTTGCTCAGGCTGGAGTGCAATCAATGGTGCAATCTTGGCCCGCTGCAACCTCTGTTTCCCAGGTTCCAGTGATTCTCCTGCCATGGCCTCCCGAGTAGTTGGGATTTACAGGTGCCTGCCACCAAGCCTGGCTAAGTTTTGTATTTTTAGTAGAAACACAGTTTCGCCATTTTGGTCAGGCTTATCTCGAACTCCTGACCTCAGGTGATCTGCCCACCTTGGCCTCACAAATTGGTGGGATTACAGGCGTGAGCCTCTGTGCCCGGCCTCCTTGCATTTTCTAATGTGTGTATATACTCTTTTTTTGTGAAACAAGGTCTCTCTTCCTCACTCAGGCTGGAGTTCAGTGGTGCAGTCATGGCTCACTGCAGCCTCAAATTCTGGGCTTGCGTGATCTTCCTGCCACAGCCTCCTGAGTAGCTGAGACTACAGGGAACAGCACGCCTGGCTGATTTTTTAAATTTTTAGTAGAGATGGAGTTTCTCTGTGTTATCCAGGCTGTTCTTGAACTCATGGCCTCAGATGATCCTCTCATGGATTGCAGGTGTGAGCCACTGCCTTTGGCCATGTGTCATGTGTGCTCTTAGTCCTTGTTAATGCCACAAATTAGAGAGGTTCTGGAACTTTCTCATGTTTCTTAGAAATGCTGTGTCCCATCGAGATGCTTGAGTGGCTCAGATTCCCCTCTTTGAGTTGTGGTTTGAACTGTGAGATGTGTATATTTGACCTGTTGCTTATCTGTCTTCACTCTTCCTTACAGAGGGGGATCTCTGTGTCCCAGGTGGGGGATAACAAGGGTTTGGGAAGAGACTGTGGATCCTGCCTAATCTCTAGGTGCTGAGGAAGGAAGAAAAGAATGGTCTGCGCTTGTTCTAGCTTTTTATCTCCCCACGGAGTGGCTGGCCAGCTGCGGGAAGTGGAGGCGGCCAGGCCCCAGGCTGCTGTGTCTAGGAGTTGGCCTCTTCACTTGAGTCCCTGGCTACCTGGGATGTTTCTCTCATCCTTTAAATGCCCTGGTTATGCCACGAGAGTCAGCTATGGTGGCATCTCCAGTTGACTAAGGTCACGTACTAGCATAACGGCTTGTTTGTGGAAGCTGGTAGCTTCCATCAGAGCTGACATTTGACATTTGCCCACAGCCAGCTTGGCCCAGCCCTGTACCGCAAGCTCTGGTTCTCTGGGGTGTGAGGTGCCTCTTTTGATCCCCACTGCAAGGGCAGGCAGAAATCACCCATGGCGGGTCCACATCTCATAGAAGCATCTTACAGTTCTGCTTCTGGACCAGACCGTCCTGGGTTCCTCTCTGCTCTGCTGAAGGGTTCCCTCTGTGTGTCCATCACCTCAGTGAACTCTTGGGAGACCTGGGAAGATGCTGGCCTTGCCTTGTGCCCCACCTTTCCCTCATTGTGCTGCCATCATCCTGCTTACCACAGGCTCTCCAGGGAGAGCTGGTCAGGGATGGGATCTTCCTGGGTTCCCGCCTTGCTCCGTGCCCGTCATACTGTTCCTGAAGTGTGGCCATGGGCTACCTTGTTTTCTGGAAAGTCCCAAGCCTGGACCGTGACAGAGCAGCATTCTCGGCTCTCTGCCACCCCTCTGGTGCTCCTGGCCCCTCTTAGATTCTCCTGTTCCTTCTGTTTCCCCTGAGCCCCTGACTTTGACCTGCAGGGTGGGGAGAGGGATGGGAAGAGAACCTGTGCTGGGGCCAAAGGTCAGATTGGGGGAAGGTGGAGCCTGGGTAGCAGAGTGCCTGGTGTCAGCCCCTTTCTTGTCACTAATTCCCCCGCTCTGGCCCGTGGCAGGTTTGTAACCCCAGATCAGAAGTACTCCATGGACAACACTCCCCACACGCCAACCCCTTTCAAGAATGCCCTGGAGAAGTACGGACCCCTGAAGCCCCTGGTATGTGGTGTGGTCGCTGCCACAGATCTCTGCACAGTGGGGTCTCTTGGGTTCATCCAACCATGTTCAATCCACAGGACCCTTCTCTCTGAGGTCTCACTTGATTCTTCCTCCTGAGAAGAGGCAGAGATCCTGATAGTATAAATGGGGAAACGGAGGCTGTTCCTTATCACCTCCTCTGTTCCTGAGCAGCTGAATGTGCAGGCACATGCTGGAGACATGGTGGTATCCTGTCACACTCAGCCTCAGGATGGGGGAGACTGATGTGAAACATTATAGCTAAAACAGTTTCAGGCAAAGATAACACTGTGCCTGGTTCAGAGAAGTGGCAGGTTGCTGCTCTGGCCTGTCTTCTGACCAACTCCTGGTTTCCTACAGAGCACTGGAAAGCCCCTCGTGGTTATTGCCCACAGTGTGCAGGCTGCCCTTCTCCCCACTACTCTTCCCAGTTGATGGGATGGTTGTATTTTCTCTGAAAAAAGGAGTTGGCACCTTGGGCTTTCTGTAACATGCAGGCATCTTAGAAATCAGTGGAGGGTGAGAGAAAGGCATGGTTGTGGAGGCACTGGACTGTGGACAGGGTCTGCAGTGGATCCCCTGCCCTCTCTGCTGTGTGGAGCCTCCTGTGAAACCCAAGGTGGCTGGAGGCTGAGGCTCCCCTGGGCCTGCGATGGAGTCAAGCAGGCTTTCCAGGGACCCTGCGTGGCAGCTGTAATTAAAGTATGCAGGGGCTTTCTGTGGGACTCCTGAGCATTTGCTGTGCTTCGCACCTTTCACTCTTAGTAGCACTCTCCCTCCCCTGTTCTCTGCTGCCTGAAGCTGGAGAGGCCCTTGGAACCCTGAGAAAGGGAAATGGGTTTGAGAGCCCCCATTAGTGTGGAACAAAGGGTTGAGTGAGCCTGGGCTTTGAGCTGTCTGGGTCCTAATTCAGCAGCTGTGTGACTGTGGGCCAGCCTCTTGATCTCTGAGCCTCTGTTTCTACCTGAGTAAGATGACAGTTATCGCACAGGGCTATGTGAGGGTTACTATGCGTCCCTGGGCTGCTCCCAGCCATGGCAGGACCCCAGGAATCAAGGTCATCAGCTGCTTATCCAAGGCAGCAGTTAGTGGTTGTGAATTATGCATGTGAGATCAACATCCTGGCATCAGGCCTCCTTCCTGCCTTACCCAGGATAGCCCAGCTGCAGCTGGGTTGGCCCCACTGCCCCACGCACATGCAGTCTGAGTGTGGTATCTCACATGGGCTACTGCACGCCTACCCACAGCCACAGACCCCTCACCTGGAGGAGGACTTGAAGGAGGTGCTGCGCTCTGAGGCTGGCATCGAGCTCATCATCGAGGATGACATCAGGCCCGACAAGCAGAAGAGGAAGCCCGGGGTGAGTGAGGTGGGAGTGGGATAGTCCTCCGCTGCCAGCTTGGGCAGGGGAGTGTTGGAGCCGTGGCAGCGGGAGGCGTCTGGAGACAGGTAGTAGAAAGTGAGGTGCTGGGGAGAATGGGGGTGCAGCATGTCACCTTTGCCCCCCTCTCAGGGTGGTTGTTGAGGAAACTGATAAGGTAAGGCAAGGCCAGTGTCGTCTCTGGGAGCCTCCCCTGCTCCTCTTTAAAGGATTCACTCACTTACCCAACATTGTGTTCGGACCCTGCTGAAGTGGGGCTGGGCTGGATGTGGTGGATTGAGCGGCGATTAAGACCCAGATGCTAGACAGATACCCGTGACTGAATTCACAGGGTGCCAAGGGCCACAGAAAGGGAGGTCCCAAGGGAATCCTTCAGATGGAGGCAGCGGTCAGGATGAGGCAGCCAGGCGCCAGGCTGAGTGTCAGGGTGCATGAGCTGGGGGTGGGGGAATGGGTTCAGGTGAGGTGGAGTCTGCAAGGACTCCTGGGCAGGGGCAGGAAAGGGACTGTCCCAAGCCTCCATCCTATGCCAGACTCCCTTCCACTGCATCGTTCACTTTCGTGACAGTGGGCGATTTCTTCAAGTCTATTTGTATTCCTCTTTTTCCCCAGACTGCTCTCCTCAAGGGAGAGCTGGGAATGGTGGGATGTACAAGGGTGTTAGGTAAGGAGGGGAGGTGGGTGGTCAGCCAGGGTGGGACTTACTCGGGCTGGCACCCCGTGTGCAGGTGGAGAGATCTTGGCTCCTCACCTCGAGGGCACTCCCTGGCCTCTCCTTGGTGGGGATGGTGGTTCTGAGCCGTGGCAGCTGCTGCTGGGTGGAGGGGGCTGTGGTTCTCAGAGTCCCTCCCTGGTATTGGAGCAGACCCTGGACCTACTTATGTGAGGTGCAGGGTTAGGGATGGGGCATTCCTTCCTTGTATTAAGCATTTGTAGAGGGGCTTGTCCCGAGGGGTTTATGCTTCCATAAACCTGTGGGTGGTATATTAGGTGTTATTGGGATGATTCTCTGCTGGACTGTTTGAGGGGCTGTGTGTGGTCCATTTGGGGTGAGGGCAGGTCACTTTGGTGGAGGCTCATACTGTGTTCCTGCTCACAGTTGCAGCACCTGGCAGGACAGGATCTACCCTGGGCACAGTTTGTAATGGGGCATGGGGCCTAACTTTCCCAGTGCCCCCATTCTTCTCACAGCGGATCCCCACTAGCTGGGACTTGCTGAAAGTCTGCACTGCAGCAGGGCCTGGTTTTGTGACCATCCATGGCCATGACCATCAAGGTGCTGATCATGGGAATCCTGACACCCACCCTAACCCCCTCCTATCTCCCAACCTCCAGGTGCGTCGGAGCCCCGTCAAGAAAGTCCGGAAGTCTCTGGCTCTTGACATTATGGATGAGGATGTGAAGCTGATGATGTCCACACTGCCCAAGGCTCTGTCGTTGGTAAGGGTTCAGCCACCCCCACCCCACTCCAGAGCTGCTCCCAGGAGGATGAGGTCTCCTTGGAAGCCTTCTGCCCTTGGAACTGTTGAGTTTTGTAGAGGACCCTTGAGGTGGAGTTAGTCTGTGCTTCTCCAACTGGGCTTCCGGAACACTGGGCTCTGCAGGGAGGGTGGGTCTGGGCACCCACTCCTGGCTTTAGTCAGCAGCTCTGCTTGTCTCTCACAGAAGGTTTTGTTTGGCAAGAGTTGAGTGGCTAGGATATATTTAAAACCCATGGTTCTGGGTTTCCAGCACCCTCCTTTGCATTCTGTTCATGAGAGTGACCCTAGAGAGGGTCAGTGAGGTCAGTGATGTGTCTTTTTTTTTGAGACAGAGTTTTGCTCTTGTTGCCCAGGCCAGAATGCAATGGCATGATCTTGGCTCACTGCAACCTCTGCCTCCCAGGTTCAAACGGTTTTCCTGCCTCAGCCTCCCAAGTAGCTGGGATTACAGGCATGTGCCACCATGCCCGGCTAATTTTGTATTTTTAGTAGAGACGAGGTTTCTCCATGTTGGTCAGGCTGGGCTTGAATTCCTGACCTGAGGTGATCCATCCACCTCAGCCTCCCAAAGTGCAGGTGTGAGCCACAGCACCTGGCCTAGTGATGTGTCTTAAGGCACAGCCAGGAACTTGGGCACATCTTCCCTGGGATGGGTGCCCTTTGGCCCCCAGGCCAGTGCACTCGCTGTGCCAGGTGCTACAGTCAGGTCGACTTCAGGAAGGTGGCTGTTGCTTGTGCAGAGCCTGAGTCGGCAGAAGCTATGCTGTGCTGCTGATCCCTCTGCCCACAATGGGGTGAGCTGGCTCGCCCTGGCTCAGAGTGGGGAGGCAGTGAGAGGCACGGCGGCGTCATGAACAGAGGTTAAGCGCTGCCTGATCTTCCAAGTAGACTGCTGCCCTCACGGTCCTTGCAGAGAAACCTTGGCCTGGCCAGGGATCCCTGACAGGCTGGGGACTTATGTGCGCTGCAGCCAGATTACTACAAAGAAAGAAGTCACTGCAGGAGGTGAAGAGCACAGATTGAGAGTCAGGTGGGCCTGGGTTTGAGTTCTGACACCATCACTGCTCTTTGGGATCTTTCAGGTTCCCTGAGCCCATTTTTTGCCTATAAAAGGGATGCCAAGCCTAAGTCAGGAAGGCCCAGTGCCAAGCAGAGCAGAGAGCCTGGGAGATGCTTCATGCAACTCTGCTGTGCTTGGGGTGGAAGCCACATCTTGATGATGCTTGTGGATGTTTCTGCGCCCAGGAAAACTAGGAGCAACCTTGGCTTCTCCTGAGGCTTCATGTGGTAAAGGCATCATTTATTATTGAGTATGTTATTACTCAATAATGCTCAGTAATAATCTACATTTATTGATTATGTTATTACGGCCTGGGGGCTGCATGGCACCTATCCCAGGGCTCATGTGCCCCCAAGTACCTGACTGTGTCTTAAGACATAACTGAATCAGGCTCTGAAATGCACACAGGTGTTTTTTTTTTTTTTACTTGATTTTGTTTTTTTTTTTAAAGACCTTTAGAGCAGGATTAAGTTCTTTAGAAAAGTGTGTATCCTCTTCTAGGTCCCAGCAACCAGGTGGTGGTGCTGGGGTGGGATTATCGGGTTTTTCCTTCCCTCTACCAGTTTGTGGCAAAAAGGTGACTCTTTGACTGGGTTTTGGTTTCAGCCGACAACTGCCCCTTCAAGCTCCTCCAGCCTCACCCTATCAGGTATCAAAGAAGACAACAGCCTGCTCAACCAGGGCTTCTTGCAGGCCAAGCCTGAGAAGGCAGCAGTGGCCCAGAAGCCCCGAAGCCATTTCTCGACACCTGCCCCTGTGAGTGCCGGCCATCCCTGGGGGTCCTGCAGTGCCGGCCTTCTTAGCTCAGGGCCATTGTCTAGACTGTTCTCTGCCTGGATGCTTTTCCTGCTACCTTCCTGTGGCTGCCTTTGCTTAATTTACTCTTCTCTCAGTCTCAATGCCATTTCCTTGGGGAAGCCTTCCCTGACCCCACAAACCGTAGAGACACCCAGCGGTTCTCTCTTTTATGCCTGTGTTTCACTTGTTACTAAGCATTATCTTTGTATTTGGTTTGCTTAGTGCATGCCTGCCTTCAGGCAGGGGCCGTCTTCAGGCTGCTGACCCATCTCACTACTCCTCCTGGCTGTGGCTTCTCCTTGAGATGCTGGTGCTGTGTTTGGCAGGTGGGGGGGCAGTACATGGCCATGTGTCCTTGTCCAGCCTCCTGCTTTTCAGCTGAGGAAGCCCACAGCGAGGGAGTGGCTTATCCAGGGTCACCAGGAATCTGGAGAGAGAATAAGAAGGCTCTGGCTTCTGGGAAGGGAGTCTCGACTCCACCCTTCCCTGGCCAGGGTCACTAGGGTCTGTTGGGAGTACATAGTCCCTGCCTGGGTGGTGACCTTCTTGTCTCCTCCCAGATGTCCAGTGCCTGGAAGACAGTGGCCTGCGGGGGGACCAGGGACCAGCTCTTCATGCAAGAGAAAGCCCGGCAGCTCCTGGGCCGCCTGAAGCCCAGCCACACATCTCGGACCCTCATCTTGTCCTGAGGTGCTGGGGCGGGTCACGAGCCCATTCTCATGTTTACAGGGGTTGGGGGTGCAGAGGGGGTCTGTGAATTTGAGTGTCACTCAGGTGACCTCCTGCAGGGAGCCTTCTGCCACCAGCCCCTCCCCAGACTCTCAGGTGGAGGCAACAAGGCCGTGTGCTGCCCTGTCGCCAAGCCCAGCTCTGGGCAGCTCCTGGTGCTAACAGCAAAGCCCCACACCCAGGCCTGCGTGTTCCCTCCCAAAGGCCACAGGGAGCCCAGTCAGCTTCTCCCAAGCCCAGGTCAGGCCTGGCCTCATCTCAGACCCTGCTTAGGATTGGGGGCGTGGCCAGGGGTGCTCCTGTGCTCAACCGCAGTTGGTGCATTTTTTTGGAAGAATAAAATTGCCTTTCTCTTTGTGCTGGTCTGGACTCTACCTCTGTCCTGGGCCCTGCCCGTGGTTCCCTGGTGGCCCATGGGCCCTTTCTGGGATGTTGGGACCTGGATGCTCATCCTTAGAGGCCAGCCTTATCTGCACAGCCCAGGCCTGGGCCTTTGACCCTGTTCCCGCCAAGGGGCCCAGTGATCCTTGAGCAATTTCTCTCATCCCTGCATCCAGTGGGCATCTCTGCGAAGCTATGAGTACTCTTGGCCATGGGGTGGGGTGGCAGTGGGCAGAGACTAGGGGCAGAGGAGGACAATGGGTTGGTACATTAGGGCTTTGTCTGGCCCTTGCCTCAGTGGGCAAGGCTGAGCAGGAGGGTGGGACAGGCCAGAGCCTCTACCCTTGTGGCCCTAAATCCTTAATTGTGGTAGCAGTTACAGAGCACAGTGCTTGGCAGGTGGTTGGGAAGAGCCACTGGGGATTAAAGCAGGGAAGATGCCAAGTTCAAGAAGGTTTAAATGAGGAAGTGAGGTTTTCAGCAGCCGGTTTCATGGGACAGACACATGGCCATCCCTATGAGCTCAGGTTGAGCGGACTTGGGGCATGTCCTCACCTGGGGCAAAAGATGTGGCCAACTCAAGGGATGGGGACTGAGTTAATTAGGGTGCCAGGGTTCTGGTGTGTCTGGCCTCAGACACATCCCTCTCTCCCTCTGGAGCTGCCACCTAGGGTCCCCCTACCCCCATCCATCCATACCCAGTCATGCCATGCTTGATCCTGGCAGTGTCCCAGTTCTTGCTCTAAAGCCAAGGAGGGGCGGGGGCTTGGCGCTTCCCACCCTGTACACCACAGCCCATGTGGCTGGGCCTTATGCTTTTGCAGGTTCCATGGATGAACCATACCTAACTCATGCCCTGAGCTTTTGTGATTTGTCAGCCTGGAGCCTGTCTCCTCCCCAGCTTCTTTTCCAGGTTCTGTCATTGGCTGTTCCCTACAGGCCTTGGTCACCCACCCACCCGCAGGGCTGTCAGCATTGGTGGATGACCTGTGTCCCACAGTGAGGATGGGGACAGCATTGCCTTGTCTCCCAGAGCGTACACGAAGACTCTGTGGAACAACTTTGTCACACTCAAATGCAGCGCGTTGCAGGCTAATATGCAAGTTCCTGGGCCCTCTGAACTTGGGGTGGCACTTGGGGTGGAGCCTGGAGAAAGGGATTTTTTTTGAGACAGTTTCGCTCTTGTTACCCAGGCTGGAGTGCAATGGCGCGATCTCGGCTCACCGCAACCTCCGCCTCCTGGGTTCAGGCAATTCTCCTGCCTCAGCCTCCTGAGTAGCTGGGATTACAGGCACGCGCCACCATGCCCAGCTAATGTTTTGTATTTTTAGTAGAGACGGGGTTTCACCATGTTGACCAGGATGGTCTCGATCTCTTGACCTCGTGATCCACCCACCTCGGCCTCCCACAGTGCTGGGATTACAGGCTTGAGCCACTGCGCCCGGCCTGGAGAAAGGGATTTTTAAGTGCCACCAGTGGGTGATGCACATGCAGGGTGTCTGCTGGATACGCTTGGAGCTGACTGGCCTGTGGGCCTCCAGGGACTTGTACCCCATGCCTCTCCTGCCTGAGGTTTTGCTCATTCTCAGGGGCTGCCATAAAGCCCTTTCCTGTCCTGGAGGGAGGAGGCTGTAGAGAACAGAGCGGCTATGGGTAACTGCAAGCTTAACACACCGTCCTCACCTAAGTTCTGAGCACTCGAGTTGTTCTTTGGTTCATTCATTAAATAAATATTTACTAGGCCAAGTGTGGTGTCTGACGTCTGTAATCTCAACACTTTGGGAGGCCATGGTGGGCAAATTGAGTCCAGGAGTTCGAGACCAGCTTGGGCAACATGGTGAAATCATGTCTCTACTAAAAAAAAAAAAAAAATAATTATATATATATACAAAAAATTAGCTGGGCATGGTGGCATGTACCTTTAGTCCCAGCTACTCAGGAGGCTGAGGTGGGAGAATCACCTGAGTCTAGGAGGTCGAGGCTGCAGTGAGCTGAGATCATGCCACTGTATTCTGGCCTGGACAACCAGAGTGAGACCCTGTCTAAAAAAAAAAAAACACACTTATTGAGGGTCCTTCCAACCCTACCCCACATGCCAGTTCTAGTGCTGAAGATACCACAGTTAAAGGACAGAAACCAGGCCAGGTGTGGTGGCTCATGCCTGTAATTTTGGGAGGCTGAGGTGGGAGGATCATTTGAGCCCGGGAGTTTGGGACCATCCTGGGCAACATGGTGAAACTCTATCTCTACAAAAGTTTTAAGACCAGGCCGAGTGTGGTGGCTTACACCTGCATGTAATCCCAGTACTTTGGGAGGTGGAGGTGGGTGGATCACGAAGTTAGGAGATACAGACCATTACCTACTAAAAATACAAAAAATTAGCTGGGTGTGGTGGTGGCACGTGCCTGTAGTCCCAGCTACTCGAGAGGCTGAGGCAGGAGAATCACTTGAACCCGGGAGGCGGAGTTTGCAGTGAGTCTGAGATTGTGTCACTGTGAGACTCTCAGAGCACTTTAGCTGAGCCTGACGGTACACACCTGCAGTCCCAGCTACTCAGGAAACTGAGGTGGGAGGACTTCTTGAGCTGTGGTTGTGCCTCTCTACTCAGCCTGGTGACAGAGCAAGACTCTATCTCAGAAATCAGAAACCACCTTATTCTCATGGAGCTTAAATTCTACAGAGCAGACAGATATAAACAAACCAATCAATATAAAATGTGTCAGAGGGAACACGAACTTTGAAGTGAAAGTGAAGCAGGGGGTACCATGAGGCCAGTCATCTGCTCAGAGAAAGTGGGAAGAGTCAAATTTGACACAGCTCCTGGCCACCATGGGGACAATGAGGGAGAGCCCACGTGGAAGGAGATCGATTGCCACTCAGGCGGTGCTGGGGCCCAGCTGCTGTTTGATCATGAGTTTGGGGACCATGGTCATGAGGATTGATCCAGGCCTGGTGTTTCCAGGCTGGTGTGGCAAGCATGAGGGAGTTGCCCAAATAGTGCTGAGGGGCAGAGGGCCTGAGTTCAGGATGGGAGTACAGGAGTGGGGGTGTTCTGGTTGAGACTCCAGACATGTGAGTAAGGCCACCCTAAACCATCCAGCCTCACCTGATCTGGCCCAGACTGGAGGAACTGCGCAGCTCATCAGTCAGAATAATAAGTCAGTATTGCTTTAAGCCCCTAAGATTGAGGATTGTTTGTTACACAGCAGAAGCTGACTGATACAGATGCTGGCATGGGGAACTGGGACACGTGTACTTGTGTGGTTAATTTGGTAAAGTGTTCTGCTTCTCAGAGTAAGGCAGGGACTGGGGCAGGAGCAGTCTAAAAGCCTGTTTTGATTTGCCAGGAATAGTTTGGGAGTCTGAATTAGCCCCCCCCCCCTTTTTTTTTTTTTGGAGACAGAGTTTCCCTCTTGTTGCCCAGGCTGGAGTGCGATGGTGTGATCTTGGCTTACCGCAACCTCTGCCTCCGGGTTCAAGCGATTCTCCTGCCTCAGCCTCCTGAGTAGGTGGGATTACAGGCATGTGCCACCATGCCTGGCTAATTTTGTATTTTTAGTAGAGATAGGATTTCTCCATATTGGTCAGGCTGGTCTCAAACTCCTTACCTCAGGTGGTCTGCTCGCCTCAGCCTCCCAAAGTGCTGGGATTACAGGTGTGAGCCACCACACCCGGCCTAAGTAGCTACATTCTCAGCAGACCCTGGTGTATCATTGAGGAAAATGAACACTGAGCCATGGGCTCAACAAGGCTGGGGGGAAGCAGGAGACTAGGGTTCCTGAACTTTGCTGGAAATGAGTGGGGTGAAGGATTCTGGAGTTCAAAGCCATTATGACCTTTGTGTCTTGATTGTTCTCCAGAATAGAAGGCACTGGGGAGAGACGGGCCTCATGGCTTCTGGCAGGCTCTCCCAGGTCCTCCTGGCAGTCCTGGATAGAGCTCTTACTTTGGATCAGACAGACCTGGATGTAAACCCAGCTTAGCTCTTAGGAGCTGTATATCTCTTCACTGCACTAAGCCTTGGCTCCTTGACTATAAAATAGGGAGAATCCTTCAGCTTCAGACTTATTGAAAGGAATGGGGAGAACATGGTGCAGACCCGGTGCTCAGATAACATGGGCTCCTAGCATGTTATTAGTACGTTTTTACATGTTAGTTTCTCATTTCTTTGTTATACACATACCCTGCAAAGGAGAAATTAGCGCCCACATTTCAGGTGAGTGCTGGGAGGGAAGATGGTAGGTAGTGGTTAAGTTAGGACTTGAGCCCAGTCTTGGACAGCAAGTCTGGCACTTTAATATGCCCCATTCCATGCCATCCTCTGTGTCATACTGTTACGGGATCTTTGGGGTGTCACTTTTCTGCCCGAAAACCTCTGTGGCTGGTGGCACCTTTACCTGAGTTCTTGTCCTGTGTCCAGGAGGTATGCAGACAAGTGGAAGGTGAACAAGATTAAGAGGTTTATTGAGTGTTGCAACAGTTCACAAGAGACCCAAAATGAGTAGCTTCTCTCTGTAGGCAGGTCGTCTCTGGAGTGTTCAACTTTCAGCAGAGGAGGCCCTTGGGAAAGAAGGTTGCTCCTCTCTGCTATTGTTTGTCCCATTATCTCTAGTTATCGGCAGAGAGGGTAGCTCCTCTCTGCAGCTGGTCATCCCTTCCTCTCTCTATCCTTTTTCCTGCTCTGGCTGAGACAGGGGCTTTTATAGACCTAAGAGGGGGTGAAGTGCATGCTGATTGCTCCATGCATGGCCATGGGCAGCAGGGAGGGGGCACCACAAGTCCCCACTCCAGTCCTGGGGACTGGCAGCCAGTTCCCAGACTTCAGGCCAGGAGTGGCCTCACCGGGGACCCACCCCTTTCTGCCCAGGAATCTGACTCTGCCATTCATGGCCCCTTTAACCCACTCCCAGATCGAAGCAGGTGCTGGGAGAAGAGAGAGTCCAGGCAGTTGGAGCAGACACCCCTGAGCCTGCAGG